AGTGTCCCCCCCCCCCCGCCGCTACGGCGGCGGCAGCAATTGAATTAGCAAGTTCAGACTGGATTCTTCTGTTCATCACAGGTTGACTATCAATTCCATCAAGTTGCGTGCCACGGGAGGTAACACCTTCTGCTAATCCAGATCCTGAGACCTGCCTATGTAAAATTACGTCTCGACTGACACCTCTTCCAGCTAGGCTATACAAGTTAACACCAGCTGGGATTTCTAAAGACGCAACTGCATCCACTAGACTGGCCGTCGATAAATAGGATGCCGAAGAGCCCATATTAGGAGCTGAGTGTCCATGACCACTACTACCACTAGGAGGAACCCCTGAATGAGCACCACCATGGCTTTGCGCCATCAACCATCCTTGCAGGAAAGGCAATTCCCACGCTCTGTCTCCACACTGAAATAACTGCTGAAGCTGTCCAAACTCAATGAAATCTGATTGATTAGAAACTTGACTGGGAATTCCGTTTCTTCCAACAGGTTGAATTTCATCAACATCCATGGCATCAGCTACAGTAGTAGAGGTTCTAGCTCCTGCTCGAGCAGTAAATGTGTTGCCAGCAGAATATTCTAAAACACGATATGGAACAGAAGGAATGGCTGGGGTAGACAAGGGAGGAGACATTGTTCTGCTACGGTTGTCCACAGCTCTTTGATTATTCTGCAACCCTGTTTGTGCACTACTTGAAGTGGCATTAGTAGTAGAATATTGAGAAATTCTTTGATCATCTATGGAATATGGAGGCACGGACAAGACTGGTGACGGCACAGGAGTTGGTTCAGCTTCCAAACTAGCACGGTTGGCAGTATGCGTATTGGTTAAAAAAATAGCAGGGGGCGGATATCTCAAATAACCCGGAGATGTTGCCCTTGTCATTGAGGAATCTGACGAGTCGATGTCATTCACCTGCCACACAGAGCTTGAAATGTAAGCTAACTCAAAATGTTGAACAACAATTAAATGAGTTCTTAATGGGCAGCTCACCTCTGCAGTCAAGAGAAATGGAGCCCCGTGTGGGTGGAAGTGTACAGCTCTCAAAGAGCGCCTTGTCTTCAACACAATGCTTGGCGAGGGATCCCCACCTATCTTGTTGTAGTGCCATATATGCAACTGGAACAAATCATGAACAGCACTTTGTGAGATTTTTAAACAAAAACATGTAGGGGTTGAAGGAACGTGACACCTGCAATAATAAGAGGTTCAAGAAAATTTTAAGAAAGATATTACACCTTATGTCCAGTTGCAACAGCAAGCAATTCACCTTCGGCGTGGAATGCAATAGAAGCAATAGGCCGATCTGTAAAAAATGGAGGATTAAAACTAATATTGTGAAAAAACAGAAAACGGAAAAAAAAAGAAACAAAATGATAAGATGGCTGAGACTTACAGAACTCATGAAATCTAATGCACTCTGAAGTTTTTGCATTCCATAAGCGCACCTCACGATCTAAGCTTCCACTAGCAAGTATATCTGAATGATGCGGGTGGAATCTGACCTGTAGATAGCTCTAACAACATTAGACCTAAGTGCAGTGGGCTAGAAGCCTGGCTAGGTAATTATCTGATTTATGAAAAACACTCCTCAATTCAAGTTGTTTCCAGAATTTCCCACATAAGAGCCATACCAATATAAGAAACCATAAGACTGTTGATGCCCGTACCCCACCCAACAAACAAAATTGACAAAGACATTAGCCAAATTTCATTCAAGAAGAATGTCAACCAATGTACAACTTGTTGAGAAAAGCATGTTCTATTAATCATGAAAAAGGAGTACATAAACGATAAAGTAAGGGAAACGGGCTACAAGTTTCAAACTCACCACCCAAGGCGTCCTCCGATGGCCACTCAAAACTTTTAAGCACGTTCCAGTTTCACAGTCAATAATCTTTACGGTGTGGTCACCACTACAAGCAAAAGAAATCGAGTGAACCTCATTGGGCAAAACACATTGTTTAACCTCAACCAGATATGACACATAATACTCACTGTGTAGAAGCAAGAGTTCTTCCATCGGAACTAAAAGCTGCTGCAATTGTTGACCTTGGAGGAGGCGCAAGAGGACAATATGTTGCAGATAAATGGTGCAATGACTCTGCCTCAACCCTGCGAAAGGGACATCAACTACATCAGAATCGAAAATCAGGGTAAAGAATTACAAACTTATCACAAAGAAAGATATTCTAGTTTCGCAATGAAGAGGTGTGAAAGCACTAAGGAACGCAAAACTGAAGAAAGAAAATTACCATGAAACAAGACCATGTCCTGCTTCTCTCGCTGGTTCGCAACTGGTCCCACAGGAGGAATCAGCGTTCCATCTACTTTCACCCCACCGTTTCCTTGGAACACACTTGGTCTTTGGTGAAATTTCCCTCTGAACAAGTAAGCTAAAGACGCTCCTACCACTAAAAAGTTATATACAAACCCAGGTTTAGAGTAATCCAACCAAATCAGTAACTTAAATAGATTTCATCATCCAGCTTTAGCTAAGAAAGATGCAAAGCTCAGAGTGCTAAAAGCTTATTCGGGTAAATTCAACTAAACAAATGCGAGAACAACGCAGCGAAATTCAGCAAGTAAACATTCAAGATCAAGTTCCAAGATATGCTACTCTTGCTACAGCTGAAGCTAACCTAATTCCAACTCAAATTCCCAAAATAGGATGTGTGGGTCTTTCTGAGCATAAGCCAGTACCCAAGTCCGGCACATCAAAAGTTTGCAAGGCCACATCAAAATTAGGAATCAGAAGCTGAAAAACAAAACTAAGGCATCAAATCTCTCAATATTCAGGCGAAATCAACATCCAGAATTTGATATGATCTCCTAAACAAGGATTCTAATTACTCGATCTAACATGGGATCGCCTAAACTCAAGCAAAATATTTTCATTTCCCGCAATTCAGAAGCTGCAAATCATGAAAAGATTCGAAAACTATCCGCAATTCAAAACACCAGTCGATAGGTAAGTGCCGACCTATGACGGTGGAAATCAGCCGCTGGCTTCAACGACGGTATCGGCGACATGAGAGAAGGATGATCGTGAGGCCATACACGTCCCGTCATCTCAAAATCCGAAATTCATCACAATACACGAGACGAAGAAGACGATAATGAATCCACAGATGCGACCAAGGAAGAGGGGGAGAAGATATTTGGGTAATCGTCTGGAACTTTCTCTCAATGAGAGAGGCGAAGAAACCTAAAAGGAAGAAGAGGCGATGATGGCGCAAGGTCTGCGAGTGCGAGGTGTTAAAGGATCTCCTTTTTCTCTTCTAATTGCAGTGCCCAATTTTATTGATTTTCTAAATACAACCTTTTGATATTTATTATTGGGTTACCATTTTTCAGTATTTTACAGAATATACACCTATGTTCTAGAAAGTGAATGGCAACCCATTCTACTTCAATCTTTTAGTTTCAACCAAATAACGATAAAGTGCATGATAACCATCCTTGTATTTAGATAGAAAATATTTGTTTTCATTTAGGTTAGAAATATAAAAAATCTACAATAATGACTTACATTGATTTTTCAATAACTTTATTTATGTTCTTAGACAAAACTGCAATAAAAATCTGTTAGCGAAAATAAATTTATAACTTAAAATTACATGACCTAAAACATTTGAGAATGTCTATGCTTTTCAATTTCTGTATTTTTTTGAAGTGTTATCTTTTGTTATGTCATCTGAACCAACGCAAAAATTTAAATGTATCAGAAAAAAGGAAAAAAACTGGTGATAAATTATGAAATAACAAATAATATTAGGGGTGTCTTTGAAATTTACCGTTTTACGTGCGACTGGTAGCCTTGAGACCAGGGAAAAAAAGAGAGGAGAAATAAAAGTTTTAAAACAACAAGCAGTTAGACAACTCTTCCGAAGAACGGCATACGTTGTCTGTCATGGTAAGTTGGTAACTACGACACAACTCGTTTCGGTTATTTCGTTGATAACCGGTTCGCTATCCGGTGCAATGCTTCCACCGGTTCGGTTATTGTTCCTTTATTTCAAAACCGGTTAGCCGAACCACGTTTAAGAGATTGGATGGTTATGTGTAACATTAAACGAAATGCGGAATATATAATTAGTAATCCAATTACGAAACTATCCCTAACCAATACAGAAGAGGTCTACGCAGGCCTTGTTATACCAACCATACAAACTTAGGAAAAGACAATAATACCCTCATGTGAAAGCCAACAGATTCAACAACGTTTTCTTCTACAGCAAGCTATCGGCTCTCGACGGCAACCTCCTGAAGAAACTCAGCACCAGCGACGGAAGCTTCCGCCGGAACCGGGGCGGTCTCAGCCAATACATGCCGGCGACCGCCACCGTGACCTTCATCGGCACGAAATAGAACACGACGGAGGCGGAGAGACAGAACACAACAAATATAAAACTCGCACGAGGATCTCGCCAGCTCAGCATCGCTTGCAACCTCTCCCCCTGTGTCGCCACGTCACCGACCACCGTCTGGATCCTCCCGGCGATGCTCCTGAGCCTGTCGTACCTCATCCTCACCACCTCGAAGCCTCGGCTTGTCGGAAAAGTGTCGAACTCCTCGTCGAGCTCGTCGGGGAACACCGTGTCCGCGTGGGAGACACGCGCGTCCATGTGCGGCGGGTGCCTCGGACGCTGCCGGAAACGCAGAAGGCCAATAGCAGCCACGCAGAGGAGCAAGCATGGGAGAATGAGCTCAGGGAACAAGACAAGGAACAAGAACACGACCACGGACAAGGCCGAACACACCGGTCTTCTCCAGCTTCTGATGGCTTCCAGCCACTTCGCGATCGCGACCAGACCAGAGATAACGTTCACGACACGGAAGAAGTTAGCTTTGCTACGTCTCATGCTCCAAACGTGCAAGTCGTGGTCGACCATGTACTCAACCACTTCCCGGCCTAGCGGTGGTTCGGCCCGGCTCAACCGTGCCGCCCAACGTCTGCAATCCAGGATCTGTCTCAGCATGAGGAAGAACACATGCAACACAGACAGCTAAATATCTCTGACGGTGAACTCCTAACGGCTGAATGTAATGAATCTTTGGAAGCAACGGTAAGGAATACATCTGAAACATGTTCACTGCGTTCGCGCTCGAGAATCTTACCGCTAAGTGAATCTCGCCTGTCTTCTTTACGCCATTGTTGTGCAACACGATCAGTGGATACGAGTGCGTGTACACACGATCCGTCTCGAGAGTGGACAGACGTATTCTGACTTTCCCGATTCGTGAATCACGGGAATTACTTGTTCGGTCGACTCGGGAATTGTCGAAAACACCAACGGTCACGACCGTGCAAGGATCGGACACCTCCCAAGTGTACTGTTCGTTCCACCTCGGACACAAACTGTCGACCACAGTCCGAGTTCTCACCCACTTCTGCCCGTATTTCGCAACACAGTAGGCATCAGCCGTCCCGCCTGTCCCACCTCTGACCTTCATCGGCATCAATCCTGTGGCTCCGAGAATTCCAATCTCAAGAACTCCAACATGAGGCTTCCACAGCTGTTTCACCGTCGGTCTGACATCACTGCTGTACACTGTCGCCTCGTCTAGCACGTGGTACCCTCCATCAAGCGAGATACGGAGATGGATCCTTGATCCGAACCGGTTATTGTTATGGTTATCAAGGCTAAACCATCTCGAAACCACCGGTTTATCATCGGTTCTACGCTCAACCGCAGCGACAGGGATCATAACCCTCCCAATGGCATCGGTTTGTCCCATGGCACCTAACCGGTCCTCCACTGTTACAGCCAAGTAATCTTCAAACGGCTCGGCAACGACAAACATCAAGTCCTCGTTCCAGTATGGGTTCGAGAAGCTTCTGTTTGGACTGGCGGACGCTATCGCTGTCCTAAGAATCTGATTTCCCACTTGAAGTTTGGCAGAAAGATCTGGAAGCTTCATGTTTCCAGAGGATTTGTCAACAATAACAACGTCTTGAGCTTCAATTACAGAAACTCTCAAGTACCATAGCTTCGGCGACAAGTAGACCTTTGATTTGATGGATGAGAGGCCGTCGAAGTGAACGTTCGCGGCCTTGGAGTGCCAAGCTTCGGTAAAAGACTCGTCGGCTTGAGTTCCGAACCAAACTGATAACATCAGTTCTCCGCCGCGAGACTTGTCCCCGTTCTTGTCCTCCAACCTGTACCACTGCGGAGCCAACGGACTGTCCGGCGGAACACGTGTCGGAACCTCGCTCAGGTCGAACCAGACACGACCCATGAACTCGTCTCTGTTACCCTCTTTGACGAAGACCTCCACGACTGATGACTGTATGCAATCTTTCGAAAACGCGAAGACTTGGTTCCACTCGACACTGTTCGAACTTACCCTTTTGGTCACTCCCCTGTAGTTTCCCAGTTTGACTTCCGACACGACTTCTCCGGAAACAGCGACATCCTTGGCCTTCACAACTCTAATGTAAAGATACTGCATTTGCTCCACGAGATCGTACGTCGAGCTTGTCTTGTCCTTGGCGCTCAAACCGCCGCCTCCGCCGAGGCGTGGCTTTGTCTCTTTAAGTGAGAACTCACTGGTCGTGTTTGAAAACAGGGACAATGCTCCGCCGCCGCAGACGGGTCCTGGCGGCGGTACTGCCGGCCCGGCTGGGACGGTGGTAACGACGACTGGCTTGATCTCGCCGGGGTTCGGCACCATCGGTAGCTTTGCATGTCCTGGGCCGTGATTTTGAGCTCCGCCGTTTTTCTTGCTGTCATGAACAGCTATCTGCGGTGTCTGTTTCTGCTGAAGAAGCACTTGAGTTCTGAACCTTCTTGCTCTTCTTTGAACCAGAACCGTTCACACGACGCGGTACCTCGCCGACGTCCTCCGACGTGGAGACGTACATCTTGAGACTGATCTCTCCTCTCACGTGCGAAAAGAGGCTCCTTTTCTCGAGCGTGTAGAGCTGAACCAAGGCTTCTCCTTCTTTGGCGACGCTGGAGCCAGAAACCCGAACTTTCCCGAGAAAATTTCTGCTACTGGAGGAGCGTTTCTCGTTGAAGACGTTGACCTCGAGGGTTCTGTAGGGGAGGTCGTTGACGTCTGCGACATGGAAGACGAGCTTCTCGTTCCAGATGGGGTTGAGATCCTTGGGCTTGACCTGTGTTCGTAACCGCTGGTTCTCGAACTCGACCTCGACGAACGACGACGACGAGCCCTCGCCGTCTTTGGGCATGAGGTTGTGGGCCCCCACCACCTCCACCACGAGCTTCTCCTTTCCGCCGCCGGTTTTGTCTCCGGTCATGGCCAAACAGCTTGGAGAACGAGATGGAAATGGAGCTGGAGAGAGAAAAAGAGGACAGTGAAAATAGGATGAAGGTGAAAGGACAGTGGAGAGAGAGAGAGAGAGAATGAAGTTGCAGAGGTTAGGAGCAGAGAGCGTGCAAAGACAGAAGGGGTGTTATGGTGTTTGACACGACAATCTATATCCAAGAACTGGGATTTTGTTTTTTGCTTTTATTTTTTTTTTGTCGAAATTAGATTTTGTTGGAGAGGGAGCCTCGAGTTTCACGCTGGGTATGTCGCGCGTGGTGTAACGACTTGCCAATGGCAGAGCTCGGTTGATGCCTCGTGGGACCCTTCATTCTTTTAACTGCTTGCATGCAACCCTACTCGCGAAAATATTTTTATTTATTTTGCATTTTTTCTATAATAAAAAGTTAGAGCCAATTTTGAGTTGAATTTAAAAGGTTTAATTAAAATTTTAATCAATCAAATTGCTTTTTTCTTTTTAATTTTACAAGTTTATTATTATATTTTAAAATTTTTAAATTTAAATCCATGCAATTTTTTTTTAAAAAATTGTCTGTTATAATTTATTAAAATTTAATCCTTAAATTCTCTAGATTTACTTCTATATACATAAAGCTTTCTAATTTCAGAACTTTATTAACTCAGAATGATTGTCATTTCTGATTTTAATTCAGAGTTTTCAAAATCTATAGATTTTTTAAAATACTATATTACATATAACGATAATATGCCCAATGTTAGAAAAAATCAATAAATTTTATGACAACAATTTTGTGAATGCAAATTATTTAGGATATTCCTAGTTATCTCAAACATTTATATGAATGTCTTAAAAAATTGTTAAAGGTCTTCGGGATTATTTTGAAAACATCCAATAACATTAGGATGGAGTATGAAGTAATTCCATAAATTCAATGTTTTTATGAAGATTGAAATTTTATCCTGTATTAAATATAAGTTTTCATTAAGAATTTCAAGAATGATGTTATATATATATATATATGGGGTTTTTGACATTTTAATGTATGGACAAAAATGTAATAACAACGTCACAACGACCGCGTAATATGCACGCGCCGAGAAAGCGGGTGGGATATGATGTGAGACAAAGGGCTCACTCCTCGGTGGAAGGTCAAACAATGGACTTGGAACAGCAATAAGGTCTCAAAGCGCATTTGTCAGATGTATCCTTTATAATCCAATATTAAATATTTACAGATTTTTTAAACTTTCTCAAAAAAAAAAAATTCTAACAATGAATGTAGTTTTATTTGATTTAAATTATTCCAGAAAATAGCTTTTATTTAATTTCAGGTTTCCGGTACGTGAAATGCAAAAAAAAAAAAAAAAAAAAAAAAAAGTATACTCTATTAGACATGATGCCCACTTCGTTGTCCTCGGTAAATCAGACTTGTGTTTTGTCTTTTCTATATGCCCTGCGTATGTATATATATGTATACTTATCTACTGCTATTATATATATATAAAATGTATCATTAAAATTGTATATATAAATAAATATATATAAATATATATACTAGTTTATTTATATATAAATATCTGAATTTTTATAAAATTTTAAAATAAATATCTGAATTATAAATTTTTTATATAAATATTAATTTTTTCAAAATTTTTATAAAATTATCCAAATTTTTGAAAATTTTTCAAATTAAACAATATTTATTAAAATGTTTACAATAAATTTTTATTTTTTAGTTTTATTGGAATTTTTTTAAAAATTATGAATATTTTTATAGTTTAGATATTTATATAGAAATTTTATAATTTAAAAATTTTTATTTATTTAAAATTTTTGCAAATCTGCGATTTTGCCTAAATTATAATGTCTCAAAAAGTTTCTTTGATTTGGGCCTTAATATCGGATACGATCCTTCCACCCTCTCAGGCCCATCCTTATTCTACTGTTTCTTTTAAAATGACAATATTGCCCTCATTCGGGATCATTGTCATGAAGATTTTCTCTCTCATGTTTTTTTTTTATTTGGTTTCTGGCAACATCCACACTATGCAGAACACAGTGGTGTTCTTAAATTTATTCAGAACTAGGATCACAGAGTTTCTATATTACAAAAGGACCCTTAGGCGGGTCGATTCCCGGCGGCAAACCGTCCGGCGGAACTCCGGGAGGAGGAACTATCTCCGGCGGTCGATGCGGCTCCCACTCCGGCGGCATCACGTCAGGTGGCATCCCCGGCGGAGGAAATGGGACGTTCGGGGTATCCGGCATTGGCGGGGATGGCGATGGTGGGAACGGAAGCTCCGGGCCGGGATTCTCCGGCGGCCCAAGCGGCGGAGGATCCGAGGGTATAACTGTAAATTCCGGTGACGGTAACTCCTCCGGCGAGGCTCCGCCGGGGAATTCCGGTGGGCCGGTTCGGTTAACTTTCGTGAAGCATTTCCCCTGTGACCGAGAAGAGCAGGAAACTGAACTCGTCGCTGTGATCAAACTTCTTCTGCATGGCTTGAAGGACCATAGCAACAACGAGCCTCTCATGAGATTTGCGGAGACAAAGGAACTACTCTGCAACATTTTCCTCCTCTTCTGTTCTGTCCTGTTCATCTTTCTCCGGCTGAGCTTAAGGCGAGCAAGTAATAGTGACACGTGGCGTTCAATGGTGAGACGTGTTCATGGACGATTGACACGTCACCTTGTAGCTAAAGAACACGTGTCCGCAAGTGCGAGTGTTGGTCAAAACGCAGCGTTTTGTGATCTTCAGTTTTTTTTTTGACTGTGCCCGAACTAATATGTGAGGCTGAGAAATATTCACGAAAAAAATGAATAAACGAAACACCTAATTGTTAGGGGAAAAAATCCCTAATTTCTCTTCGGTTTGGGGGGAAAAAAAGAAGAAAAACCTCCGGCGCTTTTCGGCGATGGCGCATGGAGGCTACGGTAAGCGGAGGGTGGCGGAACGGAAGAATACGGCGGGAAGCAGTCGGAGATCTAAGGGCTTGGGCGTGGAGAAGAAGCCTAAGAATGTCTCTCTTAAGAACCAGATTCGCTCCATCGAGCGCATGCTTCGTAAAGTATGCTCTTACTCTTTCTTTCTCTACTTGGGAAGCTTCGAAGTTGGGGTTTAGGGTCGATCTTTGTTCAATTTTTTTATCTCCTCTCGTTATTTTTTGAGTGGGCCTATGGTGGTATCAGTACTTGTTCTGTGTCTGAGGAGTTTATTGCCGTGCAGCTTTCCTGGGAAAAATTCGGTCGCAGAGTATTATGTAGCGATGCTTTAATCTGTGGAATGGTAGAAAGATGAGATACAATCTGATATTTGGATTGGTATTTTATACGACCATACGTGCTTGTGATGTGAGCTACAACTGTAACGATCACTTAGAAGCGTGCGAGCTTACTTATCAATGGCGTTTTCAAATGAATTTGATGGCTTTTAGTTTCTGAACATTTGGTTTATGGAAATTGGTATACGACACCTTTTCACTTTGCGTACAATGTCTCTAGGATCTTCCTCCTGAAGTAAGAGTAGCTCAGGAAAAGAAGTTAGAAGACCTTAAGAGGCAGCAAGACATCCATACCCGTCTTGCTGTGGAACGTAAAATATTCCTCCGGAACAGAAAGATAAAGTTTTTTGGTAAGATTGTGATCTCAATGCATCCGCTTTTTTGTCTTGTCGTCGCACTATTGGATTTGCATTTACATCAACATGTAAAATAGAAATTGCTTTGTGTAGAGAGGAGAAAGATTGAAAGGGGAATAAGACGCCTTGAGAAACTGCAACGTGCTTCATCTGGTCATGTCCAGGACACTGAGATAGCTGAGCAGCTTTCTAAACTCAAAGAGGACCTCGAGTATGTTAGGGTAAGCTCCCTTTCTCGGGCTTTTCTCCAAACAGTACACTAGTATCTCTGTTCTCTGATAAAGTTCCGAATCAGAGGATAAAATGAGTTGGTTGAAATTGTTTGTTGCTGAGTTTTTACTGTGGCAAATTGCAGTTTTTCCCCAAAATTGAGAAATATGTCTCTCTATTTACTGGTGGGGATGATTCAGAACTGACTGAGCGGAGAAATAAACTGCGGAAGCAGATCAAGGCCAATATGATTGCTGCTTCTGCCAGTGGGAAAGATTTGGAAGGTACTTCTTATCTGTTGATTTACTTGTTTGGTTTCTGTCATCCGTTTTCCTAGAACTTCCTATGTGAAAACAGATGTATGTGGCAGTTTGTGTACTTTCAAAGTCTTTCATCCTGAATAGTTTCTTGTAAATGCACCTTTTACATTCTGTAAATCCTTCAAAGATGCTGCTCATATGCATCATGTTAAATTATTTTACTGTTGACAATACAGAGACGGGGAGTGAAGATGATGGGCTCTTGGATTTGAGTGATGATGATTTCTTTCTCAATGGAAGTTCAAGTGATGAAGCGGATGCTGATGATGAGTGGACCGATAAAAGCACAAGGTACGCCTTGTTAAGGTGGAATACTTTCATTAGTTGGTAATATGATTAAGATGTCGCTGTTAACTTTATTAGTCGATTCCATGAGTCGATAAAAAAAAATCAGCAAGATGGAAATGTGTTTCACCTCTGTTTGGTGATTAGCTGCGATTCATATAATAAGAACGAACTTCCGTCCTCTCAAACTGGAAGTTTTTGCTCAGAATTCTTTGGTCATAGTTTAGTCTGTGAAACCGCTTCTTTGATAACTACTTACCCGACAAAGAGGATCCCGAACTGAACCGAATCCCGAAACGCCCACCCCTAACACTGACCATTGCCCATGTTTTCTCAGGGAGCCGGCTTCTAGTGCTTCTGGCAGAGCAACGTCTGGCATGTCCAGTGATGAAAGGAATCAGGTATGTTGCTAAGTACAATATCAAATTTTTTTTTTTCATGAATACAACAATATCAAAGGTACTAATGCCGATTCAGTAAAACTGAAATTTCTGAAGTGCACAGAAACGTAATCACGTCAAATTGTTAGAATCTAATGGGTTGTTTGTGGAGAATGAATAGGCCTAAAGAAAGTTGGCATCTTTTCTTGCCCCGGGACACAAATTTCGAAAATTTATTGTTGCCACTCGGCTTTCTGAACTCAATACCTTTATGGCAGAAGCAAAATTCTGCAAGGGCTTTAATGCCACCACCCCGATCAAGATCTGCCTCGACGTCGTCAAGGAAAAATTCATATGGCCAGAGGAACGGGATACCAACTTCCAACAACTCTTCACACAGCAGAGGCGAGTCTTCGCATAATGCAAGGGCCGCCTCCTCGGGTTCCCGGACGAGCCACAGTAGCAACCTGAGCTCAAATTCTGATGCCCAGAAACCGAGGAGGAAGAGAAGACCTAAGAAGAAGAAGCAACAGGTCAGATCACACTTTCTCGTTCAATGATAATAATGTTGTGTTGAAACAAAATGGGTACTTGGAAAGCAATCTCTTTGGATTTTGTTGCAGGCATGAACATGAACATGAACATGATGAAAACTGGAACTCATTCCAACATTTGACAGAGACACCAAGAAGGTCCTAACACACAGTGGAAAGCCCTACTTCAATCAAATTCTCCAGGGGGGGCGGGGGGAGTTGGCAAGAAAGTAGGCCTTGTACTTTGGGATTATTCTCCAATGCATATATTATTTGCTTTTTTTTTTAATGTGGTCGGTCTTGAAATTGAGATGTGCCTTTGTTGTTGTTTTTTTGGTTCCAAACAAATCATATAAACCCCTAAACTTTGGGCAGAAACAGGGTGTCGTTTTTTTTAATTATCAAAAGTATCTTTCTGCCTCTAAAACATAAAACAAAATCCTCCCATTTTTTTAGAATTCTAATAATTTTTCGATCTCTATAATTATACTAATATATGTTGTTTAGTGTAAATCATCATTATAGATATGTTTTAAATCGGATAAATTGATAAAGATCATAATTTCTCGTGTTAATAAGATAAATTTGAATTTTTGAATTAAAGTTTTTTTAATGTTATGCTAATAAATTGTTTTCCACACCACAATCTAATTCTTACGACTAAAATTTTGTCGGAGTCCATTGCAGAGGTGAAGCGGGTGGGGGCGAGAGTGAGTCGAACACTCCGGAAGCCCGGGACGATAGATTCAGGGATGCCTGAGATTCGACACCAAAAATTTTAGTTCCAAAAAAAAAACATAAGCAAAATGTCTCCCACCAATCCACTGGTTTACACATTCCATCTGAGGAAGAAGAAGAAGATTCTGATGGAAGATAAATCCAGATGGCTTCTCTGTGCCATCTTCATCTCCCTTCTTCTCGACCATGGTGTTGTCGCCGTTGGTGTTACGCATGAGGAAGCCAAACTCCTCAGGGACGAGGTAACTTGTCCGCGAAACCCCGTCAGATCTCGATTTCTTCCGTTTCGTTTTCTGCTCTTCGTCTCTCACGCCGATCCGCATCGATGAATTTAGTTTCCGGCACTTGGGCTGTACCGGGTTGACATTGGTTCCGCTTGTTCCCAACGTTGTTTCGTCGATCTGTCCATCTCCGAAAATTTGATTTTACCCAGTTGATTCGTTGAGCTTTGGAGCTTGAGGACCCGTTTTTGAACGCTAATTATTCAGATTCAATAGAGAGATGAGGGTTTTGTCGCAAAACCTGTCGAAACAACATTTTCTTTTGTCTTCTGAGCTTCAAATATGGGATGGGGAGAGTCGGGTTTTGCCAGTTTGTGCGAAATGCTGTGGGGGGGGGGGATAAGAAATTGATTCGGCCTTGGAGATGACTGTGGGTAGGCAGCTCGTGAAATTGGAGTATCTTTCCCTTACTGTTCTACGGCTTGAAATGCTTAATTTGATGGGTTTGCTTGCAAGAAGCAGCAGAATAAAAAAGTTTTGCTAAGCTTGCTTAATATCTTAACCAACGGTGCTTGATCAAGGGCAAGTTTGGTAGACCTCTGTTTTTTGACATTGATCTAGTCGATTCAATTGTTTGTGCCAATTAGTTTAATGTTCTATTATGATTGCATCAACTGCTGGCACCTTTTTATGTTATTTTCCGATTCTTCTCTTTCAAGAGCTTGTGTCATCATCCTCTGGATGAGAGAAAAAACACTGAACTTTTGGATGCTTTAGGTTCGTGAGATGTTCTATCATTCATTTGATGGGTACATGAAGCATGCATTTCCGCTCGATGAGCTGAAGCCCCTATCATGCGAAGGAGAAGATACTTTGGGGGGTTATGCCTTGACTCTGGTAGAGCGTAATATGATGTTCTCTTTACAAGTTCCATTTGAATTGACAGTTTGGTGTAACATCTAACATTGTTGCCTGTTGTGAACTTCTCACAGATTGATTCACTGGACACATTAGCTTTACTTGGTGACCGAGCAAACTTCACTTCCTCTGTTGAATGGATTGGTAAAAATCTTCAGTTTAATATAGTGAGTAATGATTTTTTCTACCTTTTCTCCCGCTGGAAGGAGTTCTTAACTCGGTGTATTATCTTGTGGAAACAATCTTGCTTCATATATATAGCTTTGAGAAGAACTTTGGGTTATTTTATTCTCTGCCACTTGAAATTTCATAGTTTACCTCATGTAATAAGCAGAGTGTGTGACATCTTGGAGTCAACTTGAAAAATTAGTTTAGCTGTGGTCTTTTCTGGTAGTTGTGGATGGACAGTATCTCAAGGTTACTTGAAGTATTACAAAAAGATACGTGTATGGTTTTTGGGGTGGATAAGCCTCTCACAGTTACTGAAGTTTCTGTATGTTTTGCATTGCTTGTATGGTGTTTTCTCTTCTACGCCTTTTGGTCAAACTTTCTTCTTATTATCAATAGTCATTTTACTGATGTACGTTTTCATCTGCAGAATAAAACTGTGTCTGTGTTTGAGACTAGCATCCGAGTCCTTGGCGGTTTACTTTCTGCCCATTTGATAGCAAGTGATTATGCAACGGTACTAGAACCTATTTACCTATAAATTTTCTCGGGTTATCTCATCTCAGGAATTTTGTAATTCAAGTTGCATCCAAGGGGTAAAAAATATTTGTACATTCTTCTGCTGGAAGTAGGGAGATTATCTTTTGGACCTATTTTAATGTGTTACATTTTCCCATCAACTTTAAAGTTTTTAGCTCATCGCTCAACTCATCTTGCTGAATCCTGTTCATCTTGACCTTCTTATCTACCTACCAAATCAAACAGATTTCCTTGTTAAAACGTCTTGTGCTCCACAGGTTTGATTTGCATCTAATTTGACTACAGGGCATGCGAATTCCATCTTATGACAACGAATTACTAGTCTTGGCAGAGGATTTGGCACGGAGAATGTTACCTGCATTTGATACACCCACCGGTATGCTTTTAGTCTCCACCTTTTAGGATGTTTGCTCATAGTATGTATTGAATCTCCTTTTCACTTTCTGAATTCTGTATCCATATGTATGCCATGGAATTTTTTTAACATGTGAAAATGACGTGAACATCTTTCAGATGTGATGCTATTATAGAAACCCTACTTCATCATTTGAGATGATACAATAGAGTATGAGCAAATGCTATATTTGCTTATTATTTACAAGTCAAATAAGGAGGAGTGCTATGAGATATGTGAAACAGATTGGTGATTGGCTATTATATGCTGTTAGCTATTTCTGCTTGTTGAAAATTGAACTATAGCACCTTGAGTTCGCTGCCGTGTTTTTTATCTCCCGTGGGAAGCTTAACTGCAAAGGGAACAGTTAATCAAGGAACATTTGTTGAGTTTGTCTTATCACCTCTTCATCACCTGTTCTGCCTATTTATTTGCAGGAATTCCATTTGGATCTGTCAATTTGATGCATGGTGTTGACAAACATGAAAGCAAGGCAAAACATCTTGCTGACTTCCTCTTCTAGGTTTCATATTTATTGCTCTATACTTGTCATGAAGCAATTGAATTACACAAGAATCGAGATGCCAAGTTTCCGATTAGCTTTTGGTGTTGAATTTAAAGGCGTGCAGAATGGACTGTACAGTTCCACTTTATTATACTATCTTTGGTTCATATCTCGAATATAGGCTTAAGAATTTACATGTGTTAACGGTTGTTCAGATAACATCAACTGCTGGGGGTGGTACTCTGACGTTAGAATTCGGTGTTCTCAGCCGTTTGACAAATGATCCTGGTGAGTGAGCTGATTGAACTTTGCTAGTTGCTATTATGTTCTTAAAACAAATTTAGTGCTGAACGCATTCTTCTTGATAAATCTATTAGTACCTGCTGTGTGCATTTATATTATATACCATTTTTATGTTTAAGGTTGATTCCACATATTTTTGTCTCTTTGCTTTCCATCATTTGGGGTCTAGAGTTATTTGTATATTGATTTCCATAAGAGATGTAGCATTGATGTTTTTCATTTGTCTTTTGCATCTGCCTGCTCATATTTGGCCTTGCCATCTTCACAAAAATTGAAGTTTTCGAACAAGTTGCAAAGAATGCAGTAAGGGGACTATGGGCCCGCCGTTCAAATCTCGACTTGGTTGGTGCCCACATCAATGTATTTACAGGTGAATGGACACAAAAGGTAACCTCAATTACCATCTTGATGTAACACAGTTTATGAATGCCAACATCTAAGCAATTTTCTTATGGATGTTTTTTTCTTTGAAGCACAATGGGATGCTTTAATGTCCTTCCTATTTGTGGCTGAGGATTTTTGGGTTTTAATACTTGTATGAAGGCGCCACTCTTCCAACACAGTCGGAAGATAGCCATTTCCTAACAAAATCAATGTCTGAGTTATCGATTCTGTTGTCCCTCTACCTTTATAGTACTGTCTAAGACTATGTATATCTCGCTATTGTGTTGTCCCACGCCTCTTTGCCATATGTATCTATGAAACTGGTTTTAGTTCATCATAAGTGTTGTTGCATCTGGAAGTGCCCTTCTAACTGTGACTTGGTTGTATTCTTTGTCTTAAAACCTTATAGAATGTCCTTTATCACCCAAACTCTGAATAGCAGTTCGTTTAATTTACAGGATGCTGGGATAGGAACAAGTATTGATTCGTTCTATGAGTATCTCCTCAAGGTTAGCAAGAATCCTCCCTATATCTAAATTTATATTGTCAGTATGATGTGGAACCTGTTAACACAGTCATTGTTGGTCCAATATTAAGTTCTATCAGTCAATGAGAAGCTGAGCTTAACCTATTCTTCACACTGTAGAAGACGATATAGCTTCAAAAATTGGGATAACACTAAGTTTATATTGAGCTTAACCCTATATCTAAATTTATATTGTCAGTATGATGTGGAACCTGTTAACACAGTTGTTGGTCCAATAATAAGTTCTATCTGTCAATGAGAAGCTGAGCTTAACCCATTCTTCATACTGTAGAAGATGATATAGCTTCAAAAAATTGGGATATAACACTACGTGCCTCAAACCTGAGGACCATAACCGAAGACACTGTTTTCGAACCTAGATGAAACTTGAGCTATTTCTTGGTGCCCCACTTGTTCATCTATAATGGCACTATTGCAGGCTTATATTTTATTTGGAGATGAGGAATATTTGTACATGTTTCAAGAAGCTTATGGAGCTGTCATGCAATACCTTCACAAGGATCCTTGGTAACCTTCTGCATCCTTTCCTTTGTTGTTTGGAACACGCACATGCAGTCCTTAGACTCCTTACATGACCAATGTCTTAAATATTCCTGTAGGTACGTAGAGGTCAATATGGATTCTGCAGCTATTGTCTGGCCATTGTTCAACAGTCTTCAGGCTTTTTGGCCAGGACTTCAGGTTCATCATCACATTCGCAATTTATAAGTTGAAAATTTCTGTCGACGAGAATTAAGCAACATCGCGTTGTAACTATTATTCCCCCTAAGGTTTTAGCTGGAGATATTGATCCAGCAATCAGAACTCACACTGCCTTCTTTAGCGTCTGGAGACGATACGGTTTCACTCCTGAGGGTTTTAATCTCGCTACACTCAGTGTCCAGGTATCCTTATCAAGTCCTCTCTATTCCCAATTTTCTACACAAGATCTTTAAACTATTACGGAGTATCCACAGGTAAAGCACACGAGAATGTTTGGTGTAAACAACTTCTTTGGCAATTGGTTGAATTCATGTCATGATGGCATCGTTGCATTGCAACTTCATAACTGACCTTCATTTTTCTTACAGCATGGGCAAAAGAGTTATCCTTTGCGGCCGGAATTAATCGAAAGCACATATTGGCTGTACAAAGCTACAAGAGACCCCAGGTCACCGATTTACTCCTAGCTTTTCTCAAAACTCTTTGCTTTTGACAATATAATCCTCTCTGATATAGAGAAACTCTGCCCTGACAGTCAAGGATCCTTATAAGTATTTCAGATCAATTGGTTCTGACGATATGACTACATTGCTGAATTACGAAACACAGTTTCCGTTCCAACTGTTTTGTTCCGCCAACTGGATTAGGGAAGTAAAATATATATCTTTGTCCACAGGTATCTTGATGCTGGACGCGACTTTGTCACTAGCTTGCAATACGGAGCAAGATGTCCTTGCGGATATTGTCACATCACAGATGTGGAATTTCACAAGCAAGAAGATCACATGGAGAGCTTTTTCCTCGCAGAAACAGTAAGTAACCTTGTTTCATTTCACATTCCTTGCAGAAACAGTAAGAATCCATATTTCTATTGACTTTTTAACAGCCGATTTCTTAACAAAAACGTTGCAGGTAAAGTATCTGTGGCTACTCTTCGACTTGGCCGTTGGCCCAGATAACCGCGTTGAAAATGGCCCGTACCAGTACGAATCTCTCTATCTCATTCATGTTACCTAGTTATCATCATCTTACCTTTTCTTTCTCTCTAATCTCTTCTAGCATTCTTACATATATATATATATTATCGGCAGGTATATTTTCACCACGGAAGGCCATCTACTACCGATGACGCCACAGATATCTCTAGTCAGGGAACACTGCTCTTACTTTGGCTCTTACTGTAGGAGCAATGCTGCGGGGAAAGAGGAACAATATCCAGCGGCCAACATATCCTCGGCCAGCACCCAAGATAGTAACGATAGTAGTAAAATATCTGGAAACGGATTCGGGAATAGTATCCCATTGCAATATCCTTATCAAGAGCCTTCCCCAATCACCGGTTTGATTAAGGTCGGTATCATCAAACTTGTTCTTCTCCTCCTTATTTGAAGTTCCAAAGAACATTGATCTTTTTTTCAATTTTTCTGGTATTCGGGTTTTTCATTGGAATAATGGCATAAAATTTCGATGCGGGTGATGAAATCTTGTGGTGCGGTTTCAGGGAGTATGTCCAGCACTAACACATGCCCAGAAGTATGGATTATCGCATCTTTTCCTGGAGAGAATACCTCAGGAAGATGTATCGACAACCCCTGCGAAACCCGGCCGCTCGATGGTTTTGATCTCCGACCAAACCATCGATAAGACGAACCCTGAAGAAGCAGCATTGTCGGCGCAGCCTGAACCTATCGTGGCAGTCTCTGGCAGCAGCGACAATGGCCAGACAACTGATGAAGAACTGACCTTGTTGGAGTCTGAAACTGATTCAACAGAAGATCCAACGCTCTAGGCTGTCTTTGAAACTCTCTGTTTTGACATTTTCGACCTCGATTCTGATTTAAATCCCTAAAAACGATGTCGGGTTTTCGTTCGTCGACGATTCAGCAGAGTCTGGGAGGAGCTGCGGCTGCGGCGGAGTCAGAGTTCTTCCGCTTCTGAAGTAAACGCTAATGTCTTGTAGGCGGTCTTACGATTTTATTTATGAAACGTTTAGGAAATGAAGATAGAATTTTTCATTTTCTTTTATGAGTAGTATTATTACATTTTTTTTTAAAATCAAAGACGATTTATAGGAAAAGTCTATATTTTTTTTTATAATGAACCTATGCTTATTGTACCATGCAACATTGCAACCAAATTATACATTTCAATCCGTCACGTTTGACGAAGGATATATTTCACTTCGGTATTCATATATATATATAATTGAGTTAAATTATATATCTTTCAACATCAAATTGATATAATGTTTTAATTTTAAATTAATCAAATTCGATTTAAATATTAAAATCGAATGAAATAAAAATGAATACAAAATCGAAAAATAAAACCAGATGGAATATAAATGAAGTAAAGTACAATTTAAACGTGTAAAACATGTATTTCTAATTATGCGTTTTATAAATAAATCAATATATTTTAATTTGGTTGTCGTATGAAGGAAAAACAAATTCGTTGGCTTTTTGTATTTTTGCTGCCATCGGCGGCATGAGAATTGGTGAGACACTGAGACGACATGAATCGCTCTCTTGTGCAACTTCTCGACAAAATCCAGTGTCTGAAGTCCCTGAAATCTCTAAACGCCCTTCTTATCATCGACGGTTCCATCTGTTCCTCGGACATTATCCTCAACAAACTCATCAGAATCTACAGTCGATTCGGCGCCACAGATGATGCCCGTAAGCTGTTTGATGGAATTCCTGACCCAAACCCCTTTCTCTGGACGGCTCTGATTCACGGGTATGTCGAGAATCGTCAGTATCTGGAAGCTTTTCATTTGTTTCGGAGGATGCTAATGGATTCAGTGGCACCCTTGAATTTCACAGTTGCTTCGGTTCTCAAGGCTTTAGCGCGGGAAGGGAGAGTGGAAAATGGGGAGGCTCTTTGTGGATTTCTGTGGAAGACGGGTCTCGGTCTTGATTTGGTCGTCCAAAATGCATTGCTTGATGCTTTCATGCGATTTGGTAAAGTTGATACCGCAAGGAGATTATTTGATGAAATGGATGAAAAAGATACTGTCTCTTGGAATTCGATGATTGCAGGTTTCGGAAATAATGGAAGAATAGATATCGCGCGTGAATTGTTTGATGCGATGCCTGAAAAGAATGTTATCTCATGGACGAGCTTGATTTCTGGGTATATCAAAGATGGGAAAATGCTAGAGGCGAGCGGTCTTTTCCATAGAATGCCTAAAAGAGATGCAGCTTCTTTCAATGTGGTGATCTCGGGGTATATTGATGCTGGTGATATGGTTGCTGTTCGTAAAATCTTTGATTCAATGCCAGTACCTGATTCCGGTTCATGGAATTTGATGGTTTCTGGGTTTTGTCGTGCTGGGAATATAGATGCTGCGAAAGAGTTCTTCGAGAAAATGCCAAACAGGACTGTCGCATCTTGGTCTATAATGATAGATGGGTATATGAAAGCTGGTGATGTTGATACTGCGAGGTCATTATTTGATCAAATGCCGCAAAAGAATCTTGTCTCTTGGTCCATTATGATTGAAGGGTATGCTCGGAATGGAAAACCAGGTGAAGCTTTGAAACTTTACGCACAATTCAAAGAAAAGGGCATAAAGCCAGATGAAACGTTTATATTGGGAGTCATTTCAGCTTGTTCCCAGTTAGGGATTATAAGTAAAGCAGAATCTATGGTCTTGGAATTCTTAGGACCTTCTGCTTTTTCCAACTTGCAGATAGTGACCAGTTTGATTGATATGTACGCGAAATGCGGAAGCGTTGAAAAGGCAAGGCAACTGTTCAGTATGGTTCATAAAAAGGATCTACTATGTTACACTACGATGATTCAAGCTCTTGCTAATCATGGGTTGTGTCGCGAAGCCATTTCCATGTTCGATGAGATGGTGAAGGCAAAAATAGCCCCTGATGGTGTATCATTTCTTGGGGTTTTAACAGCGTGTAACCATGGAGGCCTTGTTGATGAAGGGAGAGAGTATTTCAAGCAGATGAAAGATGAATGCAGAATCCAACCATCGGGAAAACACTATGCATGCATCGTAGATCTTCTTGGCCGTGCTGGGTTGCTTCAAGAAGCATATGATATGATATGTAGTATGCCAATGGTGCCTCACGCAGTTGTTTGGGGGGCGTTGCTTGCTGCTTGTAGGGTTTGTGGCAACGTTGAATTGGCAGAAATAGCAGCTGCTGAACTGTTCAAAATTGAGCCTGAGAATTCAGGAAATTATATTCTCCTGTCGAATATCTATGCTGCTAAGGGCAGGTGGGATGGGGTTGCGAAGATGAGAACTATGATCAAAGAACATAGGGTCAAAAAGAGTAGAGGTTCAAGCTGGATTGAACTAGGAGGTAGAATTCATGAGTTTGTGATGGGAGATACATCACATGTCGATACTGAAGGCTTATGCACCATCTTGGCTTTGCTTGGCAATGATATGAAATTCCTATGGGACACGGACGGCATAAAAAAAGGAGAATTTTTCTCCTTTTCTTAGCAAAAAATATGTCTCGGATGGTGGATGAACCGAATTTGACACTGAACAAGGAAGTGGAATTCTACTACAAGCAAGTGTTATTGCTATGCTTTATTGATATCATCGTTACTCTTTTGGAAACTTCGTCTCCTCCAGACTAATTTGAGGTTTCATCTTTTTTTTTTCTCTGTTTCATATTCTAATTTTGAGGTAGAAACCATATTTTTAACCATCTTGTAGATCATTGATGCTGTTGTGCATGTATGGAGTTCCCAGAAAATAGAGCTCGTGGAACATTCAAGTAAGTTTTATGCTTTCTTAATACCATGAAACAGTTGATATCTTGTCGGCATGCATCAATATGTGACATGTCCATTCTTCATCCATTGTTTTTTCTTCTAAACATTCTTAAATGCGTTTCTTTGACTGTGAACGATGTTCTTCTTCAGTTAAGCCAATGAATTTAGCATGTGTTGTTCAGCTTCCTTCATTTTCCCACTTTCAAAGTAACATGAACTCATCTTCTACGCAGGACTAAATTTTCTAGCACATAGGAAGAAGAAAGAATATGCCTCTAGACCAAAGAATCTTAAGGCAAGCTTTTGTTTTAGGAAACCAAAGTTCAATGAACCTATAGCATCTCTAACAGATTTCTGAGTCTCGAGAAATTTTTAATGTTTAAGTTATTGCAAGTTGATATTATTTTAAGTGGTAGTTGAGGACAAGCCAGCCAGTCAGTAGATTTACTTGTTTAAATTGTGGGGGACCAGAGTATCTTATCCTTTATCCCGAATCAAACTATTTATAATGCAAACATAAACAAGGCCCCAAAAATCTTCTCATTGCTCGATAAGATTTCCCAATAGTTAATTATTTTTCTTTCGGGTTCTTTTATCTGTGAAACAGCTATAGTCTAAGGAAAAGAGACTAGAATCCAAGAAATTACTTCATAGCCATCTCTCTCTTTCCCCTGTTTATCTGCAAGTAGTTTGGTTATCTCTGAGCCATCTTGTATGAGAATCACTGACTAAAGTAGTGTTTAGAGAAGATACTAACACCAGCAGTGTTATTTGGAGTTTTGGACTGAAACTTGCTTCAATGTTTATTTGGATTACATCATTGCTCTTGTTACTGTCCCCCAACTTAAAATCCAGACAGATCTTAGATCTCAGATCCATCTGCTGTTTACTACATGATTGACAGTTTGTACAGTTTCTAGCTTACTGTCTCGATTTAATGTTGATTTTCTTGGAAGAGAAAAGTAAAAGTATGCTGATGCATTACAGAAGTTCTTACACAGATATTGAAAGCAACAGGAGAGAAAAAATTGGAATGTGTAGTACATGGAATTCTGAGTTCGTTGAGAACGCAGATATCTTTCAGACACACACTGTTATAGATTAGAACTTTTCTATAATACACTTTGTTATACATAGCCAAAGCCAAGATTAGGACAAGCCATGCCCTCTTCTCTCCAGCTAGTCCTGTCTTATGGGATTAGCAATAGAGCATAACCAAATACATTTTGTATCTCACATTTGCTTAAAACCAGTAAACATGGTTCTCTAACTTTTGGTGTTACCATCAGAAGAAGAATTCAAATCTGAGACCAGGACATGAATTTACTGATGAGGTAAGTCTATGTTCTGGATTCAAATGCATGCATGTCTTGCCCGAGAACCCGAGCAGTCAGAGCTTTCTCTTCTTCATCAGAGATGACTCTTCTCACTCTTCTCTCTGTTTTTTCTCTGCAGGGCTTTTGGCGGTATTTCTCATACACCGCAACCCAAACCCCTGGCTTCAGATCCTTTCATGATCCTTAGCCTCTGGCATGATGACACAAACATCCTGCAGCAACACCACACCAACCCATAAGCAAATGAACACATCCAAATTCCACCTACCAATCTTTTTGAAGATTTAGTGATTTTGTCTCTATTTTGGGTGTGACAGAAAAAGGACACTTACTCCCAAGGAACGTCCCCTACGAGCATCCAGTCACTGTCTTTGTCTTCATAAGTTGGTACAAAGTCTGAGCCTTTGTATCCTTCTCTTTCCAAGTACTCTCCCGCAGAAAATCTAAACATGCTCTCAAGGGCTTTCAGCAGTTCTGGGTATCCCTTGTACATCGTCAGATCTATCTTCCTCAGGTACGGCACACCGTCCATGCTTACTTTCACGTAGATCCCTTGACCCTCGCTCTCATTTTTCTTTGGCTGAAGGCTGTTCTTCCTGTGGGCTCGAACCGGTGGCCAACCAACTATATGAACCCTGCAAAAAAAAAAAGAAAAAAAAAAGAAAAGAACTCCGATCAAGACAGAGTTCATCCAGAGAAATCAGCTGCAAAGGATGAGATTCTTGTGCTTACTTTGGGGGAGGGGAGGTTTCGGTCTTTCCTGTTGATGCAGTCTCCTTCTTAGTATCAGGTAAAGCTCTCTTGTTGCTTTTTACACAAGACATCCTTTCGTTTTCCTCGCATCCATCATCCGTCCCTGGCAATCCCAACCTCAGCTCAGTGGCCTTTAGGTTAACAAACTCATCATTCTCATAAACACCACCTCTATCCATTTCACACCAGAGAAAGAAGTCGTTTCTCTTCTGGGTTTTCCTTAGAAATGCAGAAGAAGCCAAGCTTTCTGCAGTTCCTTCAAGTTGTTCTTTCCTTCAGAGAGAGAGAGAGGGAGAGAGAGAGACTAGTTGGTGACGAGATGAGGGTTTGTGGAGGGTAGTATTTTATAGGACATAAGAAAGAGGTAGGGAGATAAAGAGAAGGCCATTCGGTTCATTAGAGAGAAAAAAAATGAAAAAACCGAAAAGAAGGGACAAAAGGCAAGCTAAGGTGTCGGCAGCTGCGGCAGCAACTTTGAGGCAGGGACATTTGTAGGACACTGTCTCGGGTTGTGCCCACTATTTGCGAAGATTACTTCCTTTCTAAATGGACGGTCACGATGATCTCGATCTTGTGAAATCGTGACCGTCGAATCCTAGAGTTATTGATATTATGGGGTGCTTCTCTCACTACATTGAGCTTTGTGGGGTGTTGCATGCATTTACCTGTGGTCTGCCATATGCATATGTCACCTCTCTCTCTCTCTCACCTCTCTCTCTCTCTCTCTCTCTCTCTCTCTCTCTCTCTCTCTCTCTCTCTCTCTTTTCGTATCATTCTTCCTCAATTCACAGAAACGTAGACATTTCACTGATGTTTTTTGTTAAATCAAGATTATATTATTTGGAATACGATCTGTCCCATCTTGTGATTTTGGAAGAAATACGACAAAGAATCTTCCAAAGGTTCATCCCCCAAGAAGGTTTTGTCATGGCAATGCGTCAATTTTTTGTTTTTTGTTTTTCTGATTCTGTCTGGTTGCTCTTCTGCTTCATTACAGTAACACAGTTGTTGGAGCTTATCCCCGTTTCCCGTTTCTTTGGGACAGAGACCGTAGATTTCATTGGGCTTCAGTTCAAAGATGTCTTTTTGGTCCTAAACGGCCCATTAGGTTAGGTCATTATTCACATTTTTTTCATCTTCCGCTTGATTAAAAATTTTGATTATGGTTTTATTACATTCGTTTCAGTTCCTAAGTATCATCATGTCATGTGAGATGTCAGGATTCTCCTTGTCTAATTGCGTGTAATATCGGAATTGGAAGAGGAAGCGATGGTGCGGTTGATCAGATCATCAAACATGCCATATGAACTGGAGAGTTACTGTATCTGAAACCATTAACTTCTTCAATCCGAATTCCATTTTTTTATTTGTTTCCTGATCTTAACGTAGCCCAAAAGAAGGAAAAATTCATCCTTTTTGCTCTGTTCGACGATTTCCCTTCACTTTCCCGAGAAACAAACAGCATCGTCCTTCTATTTCGGGTTCTTCTTTCGGGGAAAGGAATGAAACCCATGAAAAATTATCCGAAATCACTTCGACCCGTGCTGTGAAATTTCCAGAAGTAGATCGATTTGATATTTTTTTGCGCTATTACACTACCTTCGAGCTCTCCTCTTCGTCCTCTTGTTCTCCTCTTTTTTGTTTGTTGTGGATTAAGTTTTCCTCTTCGATTTTCTGGAAGAGGACGAAATCCCACAAACATGATTTGAAAATCCTTCGCATCCCACACCGAGATCTCGCATGGATTTCCTAGAACTAGAGACGATGGAGGGTTTGCGGTGGTCGTGGAGCTCATGGCCGACCGCGAAATCCGACTGCGAATCCCTGGTTGTTCCTCTGAGCATCGTGTGTACGCTATTGATGCAGTCCTCGGAGCTTCCAGTGATCCAGTACGACCCGCTCACCTACTCCCTGCGCGGCGCGATGTTGAACCCTTACGCGCGTCTCGATTGCCAGTCTCGCATCTGGAGCTGCCCCTTCTGCTTACACAAGAACCATTTCCCGCGCTCCTACGCCGGAATCACAGAGACCAGCCTCCCGGCGGAGCTCTTCCCGATTTACAGCGCCGTCGAGTACGCTCCGCCGCGTAAACCCGCCTCCACCCCAAGGGCTAGCGCCGAGAGCTGGGCACTCGACGTGTATGGTGGAGGAGGAGCTGCGGGCGGTGAAAACGGAGCTGCTGCTCGTGGTGGTGAAATTGAAATCGGTTTGGCATAACCATTGATTTTATTTGTAACATAAACAGGTTTCCTATCGATTTATGCGAACAGATTCTGCGATTTTCGAATTCTTGAAACGTATCGATCAATGTTAAAGGCAAACCGGTGGGATTCAGATAAACCGGTCGTAATTTTCTCCCCCATTAGAGAAATAGAATCTTCACGCATTTAAAAAACATAACAGTAAATATCATAGTGACGCAGAAAAAATGTCAAAACTGATGAAGTCCCAAATAGTTCATAAGATCCTCCAGCAAAAACACTGAGAGAACATTGAAAAACCCTAAATCGCCATGAGAAAGCTCACTTGAGGGGAATGAACCTGGAAGAGTGGGTGGCACCAACACCAGGCCGACCGTGCTTAACCGGCTTGTACGAGATGGAGAATTCCGCCAAGTAGTGACCGATCATCTCGGGCTTGATCTCGACCTGGTTGAACGTCTTGCCATTGTACACCCCGACTATGCTTCCGATCATCTCCGGCACGATGATCATGTTCCTCAAGTGGGTTCTCACTGGTTCTGGCTTCTCACCGGCCGGTGCCTCCCTTTTCTGGAAAAAAATCAACAGTGTCCTTATATTCAGTATTTGCTTCACTGGGCCATTACCAGATCAACAAGAAGCATGTGATACAGTCGCTTCACTCTGTCCTAATTGTACATAATTCGATTGAGAATATCAGGACAAAAACTGGGTAAGCTGCCAGAGAAAGTACATTACTTATATGTCTCCAAGACATTAGGCACATTCCCAAAATATAACCAAAAACTCGGAAGCAAAAGCAGACAGACCACGTCTCCAATGTGTGCAGCAGAAACTAGTCAAAACAATCTCAACTAACCGGGCACAACATCCGAGTGACAAGAACTGGAAACTCAACGATAGAGATGGTAAATAAATAAATAAATAAAAAAGATATAAACTTGAAAATCAACATACAAACAATCTACATTTTAAAAATGAGAACCTACACTAATGACCTTGATGAGACAAACCCAGACAACGCAATTCATCCATAAGCAGAATCATAATTAGGACCCAAATGATAAGAACTACACTACGAAATTCTTATCTGTGTTTAACGGAATGTTCTACAAGGAAAATAGAAAGATTTCAGCTCCCTGAAAATGGGAAAAAAAATATGCTTCTCCAACTGCAAACTATTTCACACGACTAAATACAAAGACACACGCAGAGCGCAAGCAGAAGATAAAACAAAGCCTTCGATAATTCAAAGAGCAGATCCAAACGTAACAGCGAGTTCACAGTACGACAACTTACCGCCTTACGGAGCTTCTTAACCAGAGCCATCGGCTTCCTCGTCAAACCTCTTTTGAACCTACGAAATCCAAATAGCAATCGAGAGAAAACACCAGATCAGAAACAAAAGACACCTCCATTTAATGTCAACCCACGAACTCAAAGCCAAAAAGTGCCAGGTTCTGAATCTGACCTTCTACGGGCACGAGCATGGAACAGCTGAACAAGCTCGTCAGTCTTCATGTCCAGAAGAGCATCCAGATCGACTCCCCTGAAGGAGAACTTCCTGAACGTTCTCTTCTTCGGCTGTCCCGCCGCCGCAACCTCTGGTTCGACGTCCGCCTACAGATTCGCATACGATTACAATCATCAATTCAACGATTCGATAGGAGAAGAGGATTCAGAGACAGAGAGAGAAAGAGACTAACCATTGTTGGATATTGTCGATGGATAAAACCTACACGAACGGAACTCCCGATACTTGTGGCTTCGGCTGTGGATGAGAACGATGACTCAGGTGTTCTGTGAAGGACTTTACTTATATGAGCCGGGACGAAGTAAACCCTAGAAGCAAAAATGTGTATTTTGTAAGTTCAGGACCTGTAAATTTACTTTTATTTGATTTACGCCCAAACGTTCACCAAACCAATCAGAACCCCCTCCCCCACTCTTCTTACTAAAAGGGTCATTCCGTCATTTTCTTTTACGATAAACATTTTTCTCTTATATCAATCCAATAAAAGGAAAAATTCCAAAAAAATTATCGAATTCGGAGACAATTGATGTATTAATACCGAATTTTTCAATTTTTTAAATTAAATATAAATTTATCGATTTTGATATAAAAAATATTGAATTTGTAAATTTTTGACAAAAATCTTATCGATATTAAACGGCTTTAAATTAATTAACGGACGATGTAACGTGATAGATGACTCAATGTCTCGCATTCCGTCATCTCAGATAAGAATTTTTTTTAAAAATAATAAATAAAAATAAATATATATACAATATATATGCAATATACACAACTATATATTAAAATAATTATAATTACATTACAAATAATTAAAAATATAATAAACATATCAAAATTCACATATATATATATATATATACATATGCATAAAATAGTAACTATTAAATTTATATATATATATATATAAATTAATAAATATATATGTTTATATATATATATATATATTGTATATTGTATATTTTTTGTTTTTGTTTTTGTATATGTATATATGTTTTTATTTTTTTATTTTTTATTTTTATTTTAAATATCAATTTTAAATTTTAAATTTTAATTTTAAATTTTTAGTTTTTATTTTTATTTTTATTTTTATTTTAAATTTTAAATTTTAAATTTTTATTTATATTTTTTAATTTTAATTTTAATTTTATTTTATATTTTTTTTAAATCCAATTTTTATTTTAAAAAAAAATCTTATGTTAGGTGGTGGATAATTATAATTATAATTATAATTTTATATTTTTTTTATTTTTAAATTATAATTATAATTATTTTTTATTTTTAAAAAAATTCATCATCCATCACGTCGGACGGTCAGTTAACTTATTTAACACCTTTTAAGATCGATAAAATTTTTATCAAAAATTTTAGAAATATCAAAATCAACAAACTTATATTTAATTTGAAAGTATTCATATTTAATTTAAAAGTTTAAAAATATCAGTATTAATATATAAATTATCTTCATGTTCAGTAATTTTTTTGGGATTTTTCCCTAAACAAAATGATAAAAGTTTGTAATTTATTTATTTAAAAATGTTTGATATTTTATCGTAATGTTATAAAATATGTGCGTTAAATCGAATAAATATTACACAATTTGCTAACCCAACCATATACATATATATATATATATATATATATATATATATATATATAATAAGCTAAAAACCTAACATTTTTCTCTGCCGAAATTTCCGACTAAACTCGTCTTCTGACGGAACGCCGCCGCCACTTTTAGCGGCGGGGCGCCACCACACTTTCAGCTCCTCCTGCAACAAAAACAAAATCGAATTAAAAATATTATGTACCCTAAATATGCATGAAATTAAATCTCACAAAAAAAAAAATTCTACTCTCACGCAGACATATACGGAACTTATTTCGATTTAAATATCCACATTTATAATATAATCTGAAGCCTCTTCAACTGCTATTTTTTGCATGTTGCAAGGTGACTCTTATGTTTCTATTATTATTATTATTATTATTATTATTATTATTATTATTATTATTATTATTATTATTTTTAGTTTAGTTACCTCAAGAAAATCGTGGTTGGAGATATACCGAAGAGACTCGACCAAACAAGTCGTCCCTAACACGTTAACCATGATGGATGTCTCGGACCATCTCTTTGAGCCTTGTTCTTCCACTGTCTCTGTATTACCTACCACATTGTTGAAAAAAAAATCCAACACGAATCACCAAAAAACACAAAACACTCGGATTCAGTAGCATATATACATATATATGTACATATATACCGGTTATGCAGGCTACGTAGTACCCTGTTCCTCCGAGTCCTTCTTCCCATTTCCCGAGCCTTAACCGCAGAAAGAACCCTTCAAGACTCGATACAGATGTCTTTGAATTCATCCATCTGATGGGCAGAAGCAAATCAAGATTCGATGTCACAAAGAGGAAAAAAAAGTCTTCTCAAATGTGAGATGAACCAGGAGAAACCTACCTGAAAATATCTGTCCGAGTCAAGCGAAGAACTCGAACAGCGTCAGAGATTGCCTCTGGTACCGTCCCCTCGAGATGTCTGCTTTTGAGCTGTGGAGCATTTGGGCATTTGATAGCCCAGTGATTCAGCTGGAAACATCTCATGCATAAACCAGAAGCTTTTTCTTCTCCTTTCTGAGCGTTAATGCTCTGCATAAGATCTTCGAGTTCAGCATCAGTTGCCTCCGAGCAATCCCATAGGTGATGACCCTTCTTCCCACAGTAGAAACAGGTGAGAGCCATCGATCCATCCGCAGCATTCTCAGCCAAATCTGATGGAATGATGCGTTTGATATCGTCCAATCTTCTTGCAAACAGAGAAGTGAGTGCTTCAGATGAATGTCATGAATCTATTCTCGGGGAAGAAGCCATGGGATTCAGGTTATGCATCAAGCTTGAGTTATCAACGGCGTTTATTGCACGATTCTCCTTTGATGTGTTCTTTGAATCGTGGGTTTTAACCATAACTGAGGCTGATCCATTTGCCTCTTGGACTTTGAAATCGACTGAGGCAATTCTTTCACGATGCTCGTTACTTTGCAGGCAAGATTTTCTTGATGAAAACCGGCTTATCCATAAACTTCCCAGGGCCACGTTCCTATCGGTGACAGATTGAACTTCTTTTCCATCAGGTTCAGGGCCTATTTTTTTATCTTCATTCGGCTTAGACTTAGTATGTGAAGAAGGAGAACCTTTAGCCTCTTTATCTGTATAGCTCCTGGAAGCGACCATTCCAGATGAAACATTAGGTTCAGCTACAAGACCAGTCTCTTTGCCAGATGAGGACATATCATTCTTGTTCGTAAAGAGAAATTGTTCGTGAAAGTTTGGAAGTTTCCCCTGACAGCTTAAAGGAGCAGCATTTGTATCCTGCTCATCAATCGGGAGATCCACATTAGAATCTTGAATCTCTCTCCTTGGAAGATATATGGACTGGAAAAAAGACTGGAAACCAGTGTTTCTGCATTGACTATCTTCCCTGTGGGGATACAGAGCAAAGTGTTGACCCCCATTCCCGTTAACATTATCATTAGTACCTGCAATGGCAAGAGCACCGGTGGGAGAGTTGTCTTCTTCATTTGCTTTACAGAACCCCTTCATCATGTTAGATATCCATTTCATGAAGGAACTGCCTTGCCCGAATTTTGAAGTGGTCTGAGCATTCTTGAATTTGTATTTTGAGCCGTTTCCTCCTCCCCGCCATCATGTGCTGCTCAAATTTTGGTCTTTTCTTTCCCCTCGAGAACATACCAGTACTGTTACAGCTCTCCACGCTCCCGAAACTCTCCTCACCATTAATGTCCTTCCAAGGTTTTCCATCAATGTTTCCATCAGAGAGAGCTTTCTCTTTCTCTTTCCC